CGCGACGAAGCATCTTCCTGGTGTTGCTGCTGTTTTAATCCGCCTTTTTCAACGCGTTTTCTTTTACTGCTGTTGTTGTTCGCTTGGCTATCCGCGAAATCCCCTATCCTGCAGCGACGACAACCACGTGAGGCACCGAGTAAACACGCGGAGCAGAAAAGAAAAAGAAAAAAACATAGATAGAGCGAGAGCAGTGAAACAGACGGAGGCGTCCGTCCGAAGCGGACACGCATGAAAACGAGGAATAAACCGCTCACAAACTGGATTCACCGTCAAGCAAGCACATGCACTTACACATACAGCAAATGCACACACACACACACACACACATACACATACACATACATATATGAAGAGGGAAACCCAACAATTTCATTCCTCTTCCTTCCCTGTTTTTTTTTTTTACTATCAGCGTCTCCTTGTATGGGCAAGGCCTTTGCCCCTTTGCCACGCAGCCGCAGGACCTCGTAACGGAGACCGCGACCTCCCTTCTGGAAGCGACAACTTCGCTTTGCTGCACTTCAAAACAGTTCCCAGGGCGGGAGCTAAAGTATGCTTACTAAGGGTTGGCAGCCGCCCCCTCCCGCTTGCGCCTTCAGCATTCCTCAACGCCACCGCGTTGTGCACTTCCACTCTCTCCAGCGCCTGCATTTGCTCCTGATGTTGGTTACACCGCCTTTTTGCTGCTTTGCTCGCGTCCTTTCCATAGAGTGACACCGCACGGGGGCTTCCGTGCAGCGGCGCCCTCGGCAATGCGTTACTTTCTGACGCCTGTCCCTCTGGCCCCAGCGCCAGAAAAGCAAGATGCGCGCTGACAAAGTCAACGATCGCCGGATCCTTCGGATCGAGCTGCTGGCAGGAGAGCACGTCACGCAACGCGTAGAGTGGCTCATTCATGTCAAAACGACAAAGCGCCCGATGGTAGTAGTAACGAGGCTCCTCCTCGCATGCTGCAATTGCCTGACTAAACTCCCTCTCCGCCTCCTCAAGTTTCCTCTGAGCGTGAAAAGTGGCTCCCCACACGTCATGTAAGTGGGCTATGCGCTGTTTGGCTCCGGGGTGCTTTGGGGAGATCCGCTCAACGCGAAGAAAGTCCTGCAAGGCGTTTTTATAATCCCCAAGCTTCGTATAGCAATCCCCGCGGGCAAGTAGCACTGGAATATTATCCGCATACCAAAGAAGGGAGGTTGAGTAGTACTCAACAGCGTTTTTGATACCGTCTTTGCCACCGTGGCCTGAACCGAGGCGGAAGAGGGTCTGCGTCATCAGTTCCACCGCGTCCTTGTGGCTACCGTCAGAGATTTTGATGCACCGAAACAGGTCTGGTACGGCTTTTTTGTCCAGTCCCTTACTAATGTAGTATTTGGCGCGCTCAAAGGAGAGGGCCGGGTCCTCTGGAAACACCGCCAGACAACGGGTGAGGCCCTGCACATCCGACTGGTCAATCGACCGCTGACGAAAAAGGGAGTAAGCCCCATCAAAGCTATGCTGCGCCAACAAGACCTGGGGATGTTGGCGATCTCTCAAAGGCACGCCCTCTAGCAGTGCCTGGGCATGCTGAAACGCCTGGCGTTGAGAGTAGAGGTGCACCAAAAGTGTACTGCTCTCGATATAAAAAAGGGGGTAGTCCCTCAAATGTCTCTCCAGTGCCTTTTCGGCCTCATCTGTGCGCTCAACTGCGATCAGGTAGGCACAACGGTGAAGCATCACCTGAGGGTGCTCAAGCAGCTCTAGGGACTCATCGGCAAAGCGAAGTGCCTGCACGTAGTCCTTCACGTTGAAGAGGACGATGCTCAGCGCGTCGAGAATGCCGGCAAGGCGAGTTTGTACCGCGGCGGCAAGGGCGCAATCTTCCCCGGCGGTGAAAGCACTACGCGCCTGAAGGAAAGTCGGTGGGGGTGTACCGCGCGATAACGAAGGTGGCCGAGTAATCGACTGCGTTCTCAACGAGAGCAGCTCGTCAGCGCTGTCCCTGCCCTGCTCCTCGCCTCCGTCAAAACCGGTAGGGCTCATGTTGCTCCTATCAAACGTAGGATATGCAAAAACCTTGTCTAGCGGCAGCGCGCTAAGAACGGAAGGTGTGGTGCTGTCCGTATCCTCTCGTGGGCGCAGCAGCCAGAGGGCTCGCCGGTACTGCTTAACAGCCCCCTTAAAGTCGCACAAGGAGACAAAGCACTCCGCAGCTGCAATGAAGGGCTGCGACTTCTGCGGCATGAAGAAAGACGCCTTGCCAAAGGCATTTATGGCCTCTCTGAGTCGTCCCTGCTGCAGCATAACGAGCCCCTGCTGGTAGCGCACTTCGCCCATCTCGGCGGAGCTTACCAACTCCTTCCGCTTGCTCTTCTTCTCACATCTGCTCATTTCAAACAGTCACGCACAGGTCACAGAAATACGTTATAATCGTTATTTAGCTGGGGGGTGAAGACGTGCACCGGATTGCGCTTTGAATACACGAGGCGGCAACGTCGCCAGTGCTAAAAAAAGAAGAAAGAAAAAAAGAAGGGGATCAAACGCACAAAGAGGAGGAGGGGATGATGATCAACCCAGCAAAGACATCAGGCATTTTCACAGTGAGCGGACACATTCACCCGCAGCACCGACACTACATAAATGTGCCGCAGGGGAAAACAACAACAAGAGCGACGGGAGGAATGGGAGAACGCCACCCTTTCCCACTTTTACTCGGTTAGACGGAGACCCAAAATCTTTTATTTATTTTGAGTTCTTTCCCCTCCACTTAAAAAAAAACGGGCCACGTGAATACTTGTCACTGAAGTCTAGCATCTGTTATCGCTCGTTGCACAACAACCCTCACGCCATCCTCTGCCGCTGCCACCGCTGTCACCCAAGCACCCCACCAAGTAGTCACATATATATATATATATATAGATATAGTGCGCCTTGGCCACCTGCGTCCCCCTCCCACGCCTTTGCAGAGGCAGATCCACAGGGGAAGCAAGAGAGAAGTAAAAAAGATCCCTTTTAACGCAAAAGTAGGTCATTAATGTTGGCACAGCGTGTCACTTCCTTCCCCGCGGTTTCTTCCTTTCCTTCACGGCGTTCGTTGACAACTTAGCCTTCACCTGCGGCTTCACCGCCTTGCCCTCGGCACGGTGCTTTTTGGCCGGTGCTGTGGCTTCCTCCTCCCTCACCACCGCTTCAGCCTCCGTCCCCTGCTGCTTGTGCGGCACTTGACGCCCCCGCTTCACCCCTCGGGGCGGCTTGTCGTCGGGCTCAGCCACAGTGGCAGCAACCGGGAGAGATTTCGACCCAGCAGACCTTTCCTTTGCAGAGGTCGCGGTGGACACCGCGACTTCGGCGTCTCTCGTCTTCTTTCGTCGTTCAGTCAGTAATACGGGTCTGTAGAGGACCTGCGTGTTTAGCTCGTAGCGATAGCAACACGCCGCGTTACTTGTAATGGGGGACCCGTAAGAAGTTTCCTTCGCAATGCCTTCATCCGGGCAGTGCAGTTTGGCATGACGTGGCCACTCCATATCATGGGGCCCAACATGCCCCGCAATGGGCACTTGTGTGGCCAACGTTTTAGGGATACGGATCATGCCTTTTTTGCCGTCCTTGCCCGCAAGCAGCGGCTCCAGCGCCCGATGCAGTGGGCTTGACTCATGACAGAAAAGAAGTGTAAAACCATAATCCGGCTCCAGCTGCACAAGCTTCTGACAGGCGGAGTGCAGCTGATGAGAATTAATAAATGGAAGCCGCAACACTCCTTGGTAGGAGAAGTGGGCCTCGCTAAAGTCCACCTCAATCTTCTCCGGGTAAAAGACCCCAAGCACAGAGTCTGGGTCGTTGACCGCGTCGTGCAGCTCTTCTGGGAGGGCCTGTAAGCTAAGCCGAGGTAGAACTGCCAATAGCTGTAGTACCGGGTGCCTCGGTGTCCCCAAGTTCATTTTCACATCAACATTGCCCGTAAACTGCGCCAAATCCTGGAGAAGCGGGGCGTAGTGAAACGGGTAATACCAATCCCACGAGGGGCATCCTGTGGTGTAGTACCGCATCACCCACTGTGTCCCACGCAGGTACTCTGCACAGCAGCGCTGCACATTTTCCTCAAATGTCACCTTTTCTTCAGGATCCCAGCCAAATTTTCTTTCGTAGTATTTGTCGCGGTGATTATCGTCGACGTAAGAAAAACCCAACGATTCCTTGTCGGCAACAAGACGCGTACGCTCCTTGAGAATAGAGAGCAGGAGCCTGTGGACAGCATTACTTACCTCCTGCGCGTTGCTGCGATCCTTCTCAAGGGAGTTCAGCTGCTCCTCCAGCTCCTGTTCAAAACCCTTGACACGCTCCTCCACATTCGCCTTCGCCCGCACCTTTGCCCGCAGCACCCCACCGTATTCCCGCCTAAGCTTATCCATGTAGTCTTCCACGAAGCGGCGCAAAAATGTGGCCAAAGCGCCGAAATTTACCTCACCTCTGTCGGTTAGGTACGAGTGCTCCGTGAAGCCGCGCACGTAGTGGTCCAGTAGAAGTTCAATGCCTTTTGTTTTGATAGAAATGAGAGGCACATGAGGGAGGAAGTCATTCCCCACAAAAAAGCAGAGAAAAATAAAGTCGTCCAGCACTCTCTCAAAATCCATGTTGTCAATGCCGCTAAAGTCCTCCTTTAAGCGCAGGCGATACTTGTAGAGACTAAAGTAGCAGAAGCGATTGTGATCCGGCTGAAACGTTTCCGTGAGCTGGTTTCGCAAAATAGTCACATGCTCTTCATGAGTGGAGAGTCCCAGACAGATGAGGTCCGCATCCATTCCATGAATGACGTGAGAAGTCTGCGGGTTATAGCCAGGCTGAGCCCGGAGTCCTCGAATGTAGTGCATGATTTTGTGCTCCCCCTCACCAGGGACGTGCGCATCTGAAAAGATGACGGCAATGTGGCGCCAGGCCGGATCTTCATTCAGTTTCTTCATAATAAACCACTCGATGGCCAACCCGACGCGCTCCATGAAAGGCGTTGAGGGTGTGATAACGTTGTGGTCCCAGCGATTCCGTGTTTGCGGGGGCGGAAGTCCCTTCTTGACGACGTCCTCCGCGCACTGTGAGGAGAGCCCGTCGCTCTCAATGCGCTCCTCGGCGGCGCGAAAGCGTCGACTGCGCTGCTGATTCATCTTACTCTGCGGCGCAACACCGTCGATGCACAAGACAAGACACTTCCGCGGCCGAACTATTTTGTACAATAGGTCCACCTGCGCAAAGATGCGCGCAAACATCTCCTCCTCGCTCTCGGGCTCCGGCAGCGGGGCCGTGTCATGGCAGCACGGGTGAATGAGCCCGTTCATGTCGAGGTAAAAGTTGTCGAAGCGCCGCGTTGCACCGCCACGCTCAGGGGGTGGCTGGCCATCCTGCGCGGCCTTCACCACCGCCTCCGGAACGGCCTCCACGCACTCTCCGTACCAGCGCTGCAGCCACAGGTAGAAGCCGGCGATCCCCATCGCGTAAACTGCCCTTTCCCCTTCACGGCGCCCCCTCCCCTCCTGCGGACGCGCCACCACAGACTTCAAGTGCAAAACCTACGGGAAACGGCAGACCATTGGCATCGGCAACAGCACCAACGACGGCGCATACATGCGTGTTTGGAGTGCCCAGCCAAAAGCCCCAACCACGTCCCACCCAAGAAGGAAAAAAGAAAAAAAACATCACAGCAAGCAGAAGCGGAAAAATGAAATTAACAAAAAAATTAAGTGGGAGGAGGCAAAGAAGAAGAAAAAACCAACAAACAACAAACAGACCACAACAGCAGTGGTCGCCGCATTCCACCTCGTGAGAGTACAATACTGGGAGACACCACAAGCAAAAAACGCAAAGGAAAAATGTATACTTCCCCTCAGTTTGTTTGCATATATATATATATATATATACTGTGTATGTATGTGTGTGTGTGTGTGTGTGTGTGTGGTCCTCTGCCGATAACTGGTGCCCCTGCTCCAGAGGGCTCAATCTTGCCATGGTGGCCGGGAAAACGTCGTCGTACCCTTCAGAGGCGTGGCACGCCGCAGCGAAACTCCCCTGCTGGCGCTGCGACGATTGCATGCCTTGAAGGATGTCCCTTGCCGCCCCTCCGCACTCCAATCCATATTCCCACCCACCATTGCCGTCTCTGTCAGGTGCACCAATTCAAGACCCGTCTTGACCGGATCTTGAATGTACGCTTTCGCCTGTCGACGAATACAATCCTGCGCTCTGGCGACAACGAGGGCATTGGCCTGCTCCTGTGCATGCAAAGCCGCGCTGTGCTTCTTCGCTAATTTCTCAAAGTCGCTTCGACGCTGCAACAGTAATTCCTCGCGGTTCGTGGCAAGGCGCTTCTCTACAGCGGCTTGTCCCAACCGCAGACGCTCGGAAAGAGCTCGTAAACGGTCTTGCAATTTCTTTTCAATTTCCACCTCGAACTCTTGGAGTTCCTGCGCCTCGCGATGAGCAATCGCCTTCTGCGCCCGCTCTGCCTCCATGTACATTCGTTGCTGCACATATTTCTTTAAGTCATCACGAAGCCCCACCAACGCCTTGGAGGGACGTGGGCGGCGTTCCATGAGCTCCAGGCGAATGAGCTCGTCCTGCGACTGCATCTCCATGACGTGTTGACGCTCCAGTTCGCGTCGCAGCTGTCTCGCCTTCTCATCGTAGTCCCTCAATTTATTCTCCCACATATCGTGAAAGGTGAGAAGCTCCAGCCGCTGCTCCTCCAGCATCTGCCTCTTCCACCCCACGTTTACCTTGCGCGCCTCGATTTCAATTTTTTTCACATACCGGAGGTTGACTTCACGCATTCGATCCAGACACGCCTGCGCCTTGCGAAATTCACCGCGCTGCTCGCACTCCTGACGCAGCGCGTCAAGTTGCACCAGGTAGCTCCGGATTTCATCGTCCTCCTGGCGGCGTTTTGCCGCCTTGGCGTCCATCGGCCAGGAGGCGCCCATGGGAACTGGAAGCGTCTCATCCGGGTGGGTTGGGGCTATGGGCGAGGCGGCTGGCAAGGCACTGGAAGACGCCGTCATGTCGCCTCCCGCCCCAGTGCGGCCGTGCAGAAACACCCAAACGTGCGTGCGTGTCCCCCCGCACCTTCTGGCTGCTTGGATTATAGAAAACAAATGCGAGTGGCACAAAAAAACAACAACAACGAAGACGCTCCATCGCAGAGCTGAAATGCATAAACCATGAACAGCAGGGGCATTCATGTTCAGCCCAGCAGTGGCGTCTCCTCTCTCTCTCTCTCTCTCCCTCTCTCTTTTTCTTTGCTACTTCACATTTCCAGCTAGCCCGCTCTATTCGGAGCCTCGTTTACAAGATACATGCAGTGAACAGAAGGGTCACCCCTCCCGCCACTGGACGCCTTCATTGCTGTTTCCCTTGTTGCTTTACAACAGATAGACGCCGTCACGAAAGCGACCCTCAAAGATGGTCCCATCGGGGTAACTAAGACGCCCTTTCCCGTGCGGCTTGCCAGAACGCAGGTCGCCCTCGTACACACTGCCATCTACGAAGCACACCATCCCCTGCACATCCAAGCGCTCCCCCTCGGCCCACTCCCCCACCAAGACCTCACCGCGGGCGTCGGTGTACGACCCGTGGCCATGCGGCTTGTCATCAAGCCAGTCGCCGACGTAAACGGACCCGTCCGCGTAGTTCTGCTTGCCCTTCCCACAACGACGCCCATTTTCCCATTCCCCTTCGTATGTGTCACCGTCGCGGTATTTGTAGAGAACCTGCCCGTCTTGAGGAACCCCGTGGTGCCACACCAGGCGCGCAACGTCGCCGTTAGGAAGCATGGAGACGCCGACACCTTGCCGCTCACCATCGCACCATGTCCCTTCGTAGATATCCGTCTCCGATCGAGCCGTGCCAACGCTTTGTAACTTGCCAAGCAGGAAAAGGCCTTCATACATGGTTCCCTTCTTTGAATCAAAGCTGATACCGGAGCCAACGCGAGCGTCATCCTTCCAGGTGCCTCGGTACATAGAGCCTCTACGACCCAGGTGTAACCCGTGTCCACAACGCACATCGTTTTTAAACTCCCCTTGATAGATGCCTTCATCAGACTCCTGGGTACCAATGCCGTGTCTCTTACCCTCCTTCCATTCACCTTCGTAGACCCGGTTTCCATGCAATTGAACCAACCTACCAAAGCCGTGCCTTTTATCATTTTTCCAGCCCCCCTCGTAGACATCGTCATTGGGATACGTGCATCGCCCTTGCCCCTCACGGAGGTATGCTTTATCGTCCCAGTCCCCGACATACACTTCCCCATTGGGAAAGGTAAAAGTGCCACCTCTGCGTACATCGTCCTCCCAGACGGCGACACACACTACACCGTTGATAAAGGTCAACGCTCCACTTCCGGTACGCTTATCCATCTCCCAGGTCCCCTCAAAAGAGTTTCCAGGCGCATCGATGTAGCGTCCCTTGCCATGACGACAGTCGTGGCTCCACGCACCAATGTAAGAGGACCCATCGGGGTAGTGTGCCGTCACAGTTGAGCTTAGCGTGTCGTCGTTCCAAGTGCCAAGAAGTACCACTCCGTTTGTGTAGGTAAATACACCCTCACCAGACCGCATGTCCTCCTTCCACCCACCGTGGTACTGTGTTCCGTCAGGGTAAAGGGCACTCCCAACTCCGTCCCTTTTATCGTTCAACCACCCGCCTTCGTAGCGATATCCATCGCGTGTGCATATCACGCCCTCGCCTTCTCGTTTACCGCCCTTCCACATGCCCCAATAGGCCCTGTCAGTCCACTGATACACCCCCAGACCCTCCTTCTTCCCATAAACCCAATCCCCTTCGTAGACCTCTAGTGTAGGGGCAGGTAGCTGAACAATAGACCAACCCACATCCTTGCGTCTAATGTCTAGTTTGGCGTCCTCCAGCAGTGGCGTGGCGTCCACCTGCCAGGTGGAGGAGTCACTCTGCTGCCGCAGGCTCCTTCCACTCCACTTCAATGTCCCCAACCCCATCAGTTCGGGGGACACACCGTAAATGCATCGTCCACGACCGTGGTACGAGAAACCAGACCACATCCCGTAGTACAAAGCAGAATTCGCACTCGAATACCACTCACCCTCATACTGCTCCTGCAGCGTTAACTTGAGGCGAATAAAACTATTTCCACTTTTCTCTACATAACGTATCGCAAGGTAAAACACCCCCACGTGGTAAGAGGGATCCGCGGGTAATATGGTGACTGTCTTACTTTGCTCAGGGGAGAGGCACTTCCAGACGGCAGTGTAGTTGTTCGGCCGGGGATCGGTCGGACTGAGTAACAGCACGCAACGCGCGGCACTGTTAAACTCCTGAAACTCAATCGTCACCTGACACGGAGTCTCTACGTTAATGCAAAAAAAGAGCGCCGGATCGGTCGCCCCGATTCTAACATCACACAACTCAGTGTCGGGAATCAGGGGGACAGGAATTTTGTCCTCAGTGAGAGTTAACATGCCTCGATTCGCCGGATTCACCAGAGGCGATGCCCCCACCCCCGCTTTTTTTCTTCTGTTGTTATGTGTGTGTGTGTGTGTGTGTGTGTGTGTGTGTAAAGGGTTTAATGAGGGAGAGAGAGAAGCGTGCGAAGGGGTCGCGACCGCACCCACACCCACACACCCCGGGGAAAATAAACAACAACGACAAAACGCCTTTTGTCGGCAGCGAGGAGGTGGGCCGGAGGAGGCGCCACCAGCAGAAAACTTCAACGAAAAAAAAATAAATAAATAAATAAAATAAAACAAATAAAAACATTTATCGTCGCTGCAGAGTCCCGCAGAGGCCCCACACATACAAAAACTCTAAAGCGTAGAAATAACAACAAAGAGAGCCAAATGATGCGTGTGCCGGGCAAGAAAAGCAAGCAAACAAAAAGAAAGAAAGAAAATGAGACTACTGAAACTATCAAATGCGTGCCATACAACCCATTGGAGGGGCCAATATAGTTATGCGACGAGGCGAAGTTCGTACACCTTCTTCATCCTAAGCCGCCGGAACATTGCGGAAAAGGCCGTGTTACATGACATGGCATGCATGGCAATGTCGTTGGCCTGGCCCCATTTTGGAGGCCCGTTTTTCCGACAATTCCTCCGACGCAAGCAATGTCATGGGTGTGGTATCGCTGGCGAGTACGTTGGCGGGCTCATCAGCGAGAAGCCACGGCGGCAGGTGCACAATGACCTCACTACCCACTGACTCCTGCAAGTACAGTTGCTCTATCGTCCCTTCATCCTCTGCAGCACTTGAAAACACGCTTTGTGTCACGCCGACGCTCTTCGGAGAGTACGACGCAGTTACATCCGAGTCACTCAGCAACAGGGGCGACAAGCAGTTGCGGGAAACTGTCGGAAGACTAATCGTCGTCGTTGTCACCGTGAAGCGGCTGTGTGGAGATGCGTCGCCACCGGCATTTCCCGGACGGGTGCCCAAATTCAGCTCCTCTGAGACAAGTCGGCGCGGCTCCACCTTCGGGCAATTCAACGTGACTCCGGGCGGAGAGGATGCTATACGAAAGTAATGCGCCATGCGAATCATGAGGTGCATTGCCCGCAACACATCCTTGTGATTTCTACTTGAGATTTCTAAGACCGGTAGATCGGAGTGCCTCCCTGCGTTGCTTGCGCCACTGCCTATGCCGTTGTTTTCAGTTTTGTTGCACTTTTTTGAAAGCCTCACACCCAACGTCAACAGACACTCCCGCACTACGCGCTCTGCATCCTGCACCGTCACGACATGATGCTCGGTGTCGTCGGCTCTGGTACCTACAAGCAGAAGTGGAATGCTCCCCTTCACACCATGCTGCTGCCGTGCACGGCAGCTCTCCCTTGCACACTCCAGAAGGCACAAGAGCGAGTCCATGTCCGTAGTGGAGTAAATAAACATTAGGCCATGCGCCTCTGCTATGTATGGCGCACGGTGCTCGCTAAACCCACTACTACCAGAGCAATCACACAAATGTATTCGATACAACTCCCCACTTACGGTCTCGCATCGCACAAACGTCTCCAACGAGGTCGGAACGTACGCTTGGCGGAATGTTCCTTTTAGAAACTGTTGCAGAATTGCGCTCTTTCCCACGCCTTCGGCACCCATGAGAACTAAGTTGCACACTGTAACCTCCGCCGCAACCCCGTCGCGACTGCCGAAGCAGGGAAGCCGCCTCATTTCAAAGGCCCGCCGCCCCTCCTCCTAATTGCGCCTCACCACCCTTTTCCCCGCAGCGGAACACGCGCGCGCACACACACACACACAAAAAGAAGCGATGGTGCTTTACTTACCTGCTCTTTTACCCCCTCCCCTCCCGCCTTTTTTTTTTTGCCCTTTGCTTTGCTTTCGGGTTCCCCAAGCGAGAGGAGCAGCCAGGCGGCTGCAATTACCACCAGGCGAGGAAGCTAGAAGAGCGCCAACATCAAATTGGCGGGAGAGGAGGAAAAACAACGGCCCCAGAACCACCCAGTAAAAGAGTGAGAGAAAAAAAAATGCAATACCCACAACACGCAGAAAGTCAGGCGAGCAGACAGCGAAGGGAAAAAAACAACCACAAACATACACACACACGTAGGCAGGAAAAGCCACACCTCTCTCGCCGCAGCAGAAACACAACCCATCAACCTACTGAATCAACAGGCTTAAAACAACAACAAAGGGGGGAGGGAAAAAACAACAACAACTTTACGTAAGTACGTTTATTCCACGAAGAGAACAAGCAGTAAGTCGCTCTCGTCTAATGTTTTCCAGTCCGAAAAAGCGGTTGCCTCAACCTATTACGACAACACTGGCTCGGTGCCGCTTCTAGTGTGGAGGTGATTGTACTCACGGTTACTTTGGCGACAGCTTTCCCTCACGTACTTCAAGGTCTTTTTTAGTCGCCGTAACTCCTCCACCGCCTCTCCCCCTTCATAGGATGAATTCGAGTCCTTCAACGCATCCTCTGGCAGCATGGCAGGGGGGATTTCCTCCTCCTCCTCCTCCTCCTTCCTCCCCTCCGGCTGCTGTTGCTCCTCTTCTTGCAGGTACGCCAGTGTTGGACACGGCATCTTCTCATCCTGGCGAAGGCAAACCGCGATATCCTTTACTCGTGCCCACAGCCGCAAAAATGAGGGCTCTAGGATCACCTCGTAAATTGTCTTCGTTAAACCATGTCGCAAAATCCCATACTGCCAGGCATCACGTAGAGGATTAATCACAAATTGGTTTAGGCGACTTCGCTCACGACTGCGTGCATAGAGTCGCACACGATGCCTAACAGCCGCATATGCCCTTATCATCTGCTTGTAGTACAGAATCTGCGCCTTGACATTTGTATTGGGGGACATGTGAAATGTCGATCGCTCAAGCCGCTCCAATGTCTCACTCAACACGCGAAGGTACAAACGTCTCGCCTCGTTAGCGCTGAGAGACATATAAGGCACCTCATAGATGAATTGCAGCTCAGACACAGAGTCTACGTAGTGTCGCACAAAAGCCTCTTCAGGACTGTTTTGTCGCATTAAAAGCGGCGCAGCCATCACTCCCCAAACAGCAACAAAAAAACATGTGACAAGAAAAAATGTTGTCGCGCGTGAGTAACGGGCCAAGGAGTGATGAAGCCCTTCCAATGTCATACTTCGTGAATTTCGCGCTCCCGCGGTGGCTGGATTCATCACAGCCGCTGGTACTTCGATTGGCAGCCCATTCCGAGGTTGCCGAAATGTCGCGGAACCACCACCAGAAGCAGAAACAGCAGCAGGATCACGTCGTCTTCGTCGTCGTTTTTCCTCCTTCAGTATGGGTGAGAGGTCCAGCGGTCCGAGAGTTGACTTTGAATAAGACTGGCGCGACCCAGTGGCCTGGCTGGATCGTCTGCTTTCCCTTGATGAAATCACTTCGCCCAGTGAACCCGTGCTATTGAGGTATTCGACAGCACTGCGTGTGCTTAAGAAACTCTGCTCACTCCCGTTGCTCTTGTGGCTCTGATAATGACGCCGCTGCTGCTTCTGCTGCTGCTGTTGAAGCTGTTGAAGCTGTTGATTGTTACCTCGGCTCCCACGCAGCGAGTGGGACGAGGAAACGCTGCTACGTGGGGCGGATGCAGGAAGTGGTGTGGAAAGAGGCAGAACGACACTTCCACCGCGTGGAATGCTAGCTCCGCCCACGCTCCCGCGGAGCCGTGGCAACGCAAAGAAAATGGATTCTCGCAAATGGGAAAATCCACGCGTCGCAGACTGCGCCCTAAGCGGCGATGAAACCTCTCCCTCGTCGTCGTCGTCGTCGTCGTCAGAGTCACCTGGACCAGGCTTCGGGCCCGCCGCCTTCACAAGTGACAACGGTGCTGGAAGCGCTGCCTCCGTGGCAGCCGCCAGTGTCTGCAGGTGCGGCGATGCATTCTCGCCCGCGTCTCGCAGGTATGCAAAGCCGTACGATGGCCTCTGCTCCGCCGTGTCGTTGGCTTCCCCGGGGCGCGGGCGCTCCTCCGCCCCGTCCGCGGAAGCATTTTTCTCGACGCGTCGCCGCGGACGGCGGCGCGGAGGACTAACACTTTGATCCGCCTCGGCCTTCTTGCTTCGTGCCCGCTTCATTGCGGCGCAGGCACACGAGACGGAGGTATCGAAGCGGTGGGAAGCTCAGGCAAACCTCCCTTCCTCCAGACCTGCACACACTCTCTCACACACACACGCACAGAAAGCGAGAGAGAGAGTAAGACGCGTATCCTTCGGCTTGGCTCCTTTTCACTTCCTCGTTGCTGCGCGCAGGTGGCCAGTCCGAGAATACCTGAGGACAAGACGCCACGATTATCTGCCCTGTGGAGTTCTGCATCCTTTTTTTGTTGTTGTTGCGGCGCAGAGCGGCGAACAACAGAGAACAAGAGCAACAACGGAAAAAAATAATAATACGCAAAGATGGCACCTGCAGAAATGAAGCCAAAACAAAGCAAAGCCGCTAAGGTACCCACCCACTCATGCACCTGCACACACAAACGCACAGCAGAAAAGGGAGAGACGGAACAAAAGATTGACATGTGCGACAGCCGCCCACAAGTCGCCGCACGCCGGCAATAACAGGGAAAAATCAACACCAAAGACAAAATAAAACTTATCTCTTATTCGACTTTTTTTTTATTTTTGGTTTTTCATGTCCTCCTCATTTTAGTGGTATTTTTTTTTCTTCGTGTTCTCGTTCCATCGGTGGGTGGGGAGTACGAACAAAACGCCAGGATGAAGAACGACAGCATGGCTTTTCCCTCACCACTCCCCACTAATGTTTGACCCGCGCTTCTTTAGGGTCTGTTCGTTTGCTAGCCGACGCGGCTTACTTTTGGACTCCTTCATTTGGCGAAACTCACGGCGTGACTTCTTGTTCATGTGCGCCGCGGACTGCGAGAGGTCCAAATTGAGCGGCGGAGGCTCGCTCAACGCAAACCCCTTCGCCACGGCAGCCAAGTCGAGGCTGTGGATGTCAAACACATTCTTGAGCTGCGAGCTGCTGTAGCTGAGGAGGTACCCCTCGTAGGCCTGGCGGGCGGAGGTGCGGAGGTAGTAGTTGGTGCTCACCAGCTGCTCCAGCTGCTCACTTACCCCCTGCTTCACCTTACTGAGGTCAAAGGTGAACTCGCTTACCATGACGTGGGCGTCGTCGTAGAGGTATTTTAGGAACAACTTCTCCTGAGGAAGGAGAAACATAAGGGCATTTCCGCAGCGTCCGGCGCGGGCGGTGCGGCCCACGCGATGCACGTACTTCACGGGATCATCCGGGGGGTCGAACTGCACGATCCAATCCACGTGGGGAATGTCCAACCCACGGGCAGCCACATCTGTTGTAAAGAGCACGCCACTAGGCGCATTACAAAATTGCATGTACGTCGCAGAGCGTTGATGCTGTTTCTGCTTTCCATGGAAAGCCACACATGGAACATCGATGTAATTAAACAACTCACAGTGAAAGCTAACGGAGTTTCGGCTACTAAAGAAAACAATCATCTTCTTTTTTAAATTACGCTTCACAAAGTGATACAAAACCAGCAGTCGCTGTTCCGACGGACACATGACATATCCCTGCTCCAGTGTGTCGACAGTTGCCTTTTCCTCACGCCGCTTCATTGAAATTAAGAGCGGAGGCCGGTAAAAGGATATACGGGCAAGCTGCTCCACCCGCGTTGTCTGTGTGGCGGAAAACAAAAACGTCTGACGCTGCTTGGGCAGCAAGGAGACAATCTCACGCATATCTTCCTCAAACCCATTATCCAAGACACGATCCGCCTCGTCAACAGCTAAAACGAGGAGATTCTTCGTGAGCCAGTCGGTGGTAAGCTTCAGATGGTCTAAGAGGCGTCCGGGAGAGGCAATCACGATCATCATCCCACTCACAAGTTTAAAGGCCTCTTGATTCCTGCTTTGGCCCCCAATGCAGCAGAGAAACGTGATTGATCCGTTGAAGTGCTTCAGTAGCTTCAGCAACACGCCCTCAATCTGCAGGCAGAGTTCACGCGTGGGGCCAATGATCACGGCGGCTGTGCCATTCTTTGGTCGAAACCCGGATCTCGATATGATCTCCACTATTGGAATAAGGAAGGCAAGCGTCTTTCCAGATCCGGTTTTTGCCTCAGCGAGCAGGTCCCGCCCGCTGAGGGCGGCGGGGACACACCGGCCCTGGATGCCTGTTAACTCCCCAAACTTGAAGTCGTTCTCGAGGGCGGCGACGATGTGCGGATTTAACTTCAGCGCCTTGTAGTCGGAGACACAGGAAACCTTCTCCCGCTGCCTCGGAGTCTTCGTTGCCCCATCCGGCAATGTAGCACCTTCCTGTTTTGCCGGTGCATCTTCATTTCCCTCAGCCGCGGCCTTCACCTCTTCCAGTTCGGGCGGTGCTTCCGTGCGGGGTCTTTTCATGCGCGGCTCCGCGACTTCTTCTCGTGCTGCCGCGGCGGAGGCGGGAACGCCAAGAGGTTGTCCCCTCGACGATGTGGGGAGGTCTGCCTCCAACGTCGAATGGACGTCGTCCGCCGCGTCCACGGCGGCGTCTCCTTTTCTCTTCGGACGGTGGTGCCGCACACGTTTTTTTATGGTGGTCTGCGCCGCCTCAGCGCCGCGCTGCTCAGACATGCTTCACTCCTGGCCGTGATTGCCGCCGCCAACACGCACGCGCACAGGGGGCGGGGGAGGCGCAGGAAAGGGCCAAACACGAAAAAAAAATAATAATAATCAAATTGCAGCTAGAGAAAGCGAAGAACGGCCGCAGCGGCGCGACAGGCCCAGTGAGGCGCGAGGGCCACCGCCAGCCAGGGCCCCACGACTCGGCAGCCAACAAACAAACAAAGAAAACAATGAAGGAAATAGCCATGGCGCGGGCGCTGCCCCCCCCCCCCCCGAAGACGGAAACACCAACACACACGACCGCACTAGCAGCAACAAAAGAGGAAAAGCAAAAAAACAAACAAACAAACAAACACACACACGCTCATCGCACGCCATCAGCGTCGTCAAAAACGCGCTCACTGCCGACACAAAATTCCCGCCCACACTTCAAGCCGCAACACCATCAATGACACCAACAGCAAATTCCCGGTACCCTTCGCCAACAACACAAAATTGCACCCTCACAGGAAACTAGGACATAAAAGGACGTGAAACATGCGAACGCGGCATGCCTGCATCCTCCCTTTAAGTATTTCTCTTATTTGTTTGATATGAACTCCATCAACTGCCTAATGTTCATCACACTCCCATAACAATCCGACACTAACCCATCAACGCCCTTGTTGTCGTCATCTTCTGTATACATATTCCAATAGCAAGGAAGTTGCATAGTCGTGGCAGCCAAAGGGCCCTGAATAATGGGCCACGGCGGGGAAGGAATGCCCGATGCCGCCATGTGTGAACGATCCGACGAAAACCTCGCCAGGTATGTACGTCCAGGGACGACGCGAAACCTTTGCCTATAGGCTTCACTTATCTGCATCTCCGGTCGAAAGGACGCCGATACATAGCCTTTCGCTGGGTAAGGAAACTGTAGGAGAGTGTCATAGTCCCACACCCACCAGTTGCCCGCTGTGTCCAGCGTGAGGGCAATGACATGGTAGTCCCACAGAACCGGATCCCGCCCTTCCGCGCCGCCGAGACGCTGCATCCACACAGGCACCGCCTTGCGCTTGTTGCTCACAAAGACGGCAAAAACACTGTCATCGGGAAGTGCGTGCTCGCAATATAAGGCCTCAATAAGCTTATATGTGTTTTCCTCACAGTAGTGAGAGGCATATGGCACCGAGTCGCGCTTGAGACGAACCCATGAATTCTTCAGGCGGGAGTTACTGCCCCTACTACCACCACCCACGTCCTTTTGAACGGCCTTTTCTGAAGGGAGAGCATGCGTCATCACTCGTCACGCACAACGAGAGCAACAGAAAGGGGAAAGTGACAGCGACAACACCCATGCGAATCAGGGAAATGCGGAGGTACCAGGAACCCTTCTGAGACGCCTGTAACACGCCCAATAATGTGCACCACACAAGGAGTAAGTTTAAACGCAAAGGACAATCTCCAGCAGACGTAGCAATGTTAACCCCGCTAGCATCATCATCAGCAGCACAGAGAAAGGTATATAGGCAGAAGCAAGGGGAAGAATCCAACATCGGCGTTCGCATACTTTAAACGTCAGTGAAAGACACTCTCCGCGCCAGACACTACACAAAATAACCTCTGCTTCAACACTATTATTAGTTCCTTGCTGTTTGTGTTTTTTTCTGCCTTTTTTCTTGCTTTTTTTTTACGCAAATGTATCATCCATTACTAGAGGTGGACATGGTCTTTCTTCCTCGGCTTTGGCGCCTTCTTGTTTACGACTTGGACTTCTTCTGCGCCTCACGACGTTTGGCCCAGAGGGACTTGTGCTGCTGCTTTTTGGTCATCTTAAAAACAGCCTCATTCTCACGGCGCAGACGCAACGTCGCGAAGTCCGTCGTGCCGTGCTTTGTGTCGTCGTGGCCCATGTCACTGTCCCCGCGCTCCCGTTTCCCCTTCTTCGCCGTGACCAAATGGTGCGCCTCTTTTTGGAACTTAGACTCCTGCTCATTCTCTCGGATCTCCTTAATCGTCTCTTGCTCTGCATCCTCCACGCGTTGTAGCACCGCCGCCACGTCACCCTCCTGAACGGGCCACTCCTCACACTTCACCCCCGTGGAAGCCTCCACTTTTTGTAGCAGCAGAATGTCATATTGACTAATAATATTCACGGCCTTGCCTTGGGCCCCCGCACGGGCGGTACGTCCCACACGATGAATGTAATCCTCTACACGATCCGGTAGCGCGTAGTTTACAACAACGTCTGTGTGGGGAATGTCTAGTCCACGTTGAGCCACATCTGTGGCCACGAGAATCCGCACCTTTCCCTCTTTAAACTTTGTCAGAGCAATGTTGCGGTTTGCTTGATCCATACGCCCCATAAGCGGCAGCGCCTGGTGCCCCAAAATCCTAAGGGTGAGTGTGATGCGGTGCACCAACGCGGCGCTGCGACAGAAAACGAGAATGTGATTTCCCGTTTCACGTGTGAGGTACAAGTGCAGATACGGCAACATTTGCGCGAAGGGGCAAAACACATAGTATTGCTTCAGCGTGTCTACAGTTGTGTTTTTTCTATGCACCTCCAGCAAAACAGGGTCATTTAAGGAGGCCTTCTGCAGGCGATCGATCTTTGTGTTGAGCGTGGCAGAGAAAAGCAAAGTCTGGCGACCGTGTGGCAAGTGCTCCAGAATTGCATCAATCTCCTTTTCATAATCCATGTCAAGCATCTTGTCAGCCTCATCCAAAACGAGGGCGTGAAGCTTGACGAGTTGGAAGCCCTTTGTGTTGTGCAAGTGATCCTTGATGCGGCCTGGAGTGCCGACGACAACGTGCGGTCGCTTGCTCAGCTCACAGGCCTGATCCACCATGTCGGCCCCTCCAACCAACGTCGCGACGCGCAGCCCCACGCTGTGCCCCAGCATCAAAAACTGCGCCGTCACCTGCTGCGCCAACTCACGGGTTGGGACCATCACAAGAACGGAGAGATACGGCACCTTCGACTGCGTGAGCAGCCAGTTCACAAGAGGAAGGACGTATGCCCCCGTTTTTCCACTACCTGTTTGTGCCACACCAATGATGTCTCGCCCCTCCTTCACAGGGGGAATTGTTGCGGCCTGGATGCGTGTCGGGTTTTGCCAACCCGCCTCCGCACAGGCGCCGATGAGTTCCTCGCACAGCCCAAGTGACTTGAAGGAGGTACCTTTGCTCTCCTCGTTGTCCAGCAGCTCCGAGCCAATGCTTTGCGCCGGCGGAGCGCACGACACCGCTGCCTGCTGCCTTTGCTTGAGGACCTTTGTCCTGGCCATTGCCCCGCCAGCCCTTGTTCTCGCTCTTTACAGTGTTCCTTTTTCTTGGCGTTTTTGGCGTTTTTTTTGTTCGTCTTCTTCCCTCGCTCCTTCCGTTGAGTGCGCGGAACCACACGTCACGCAACAGCAAAATAAAAAGAAAACAAGAAAGAAACGGGGAAGAGACAAAACAATAACAAAAGCATCAAAAACAACACAATAAAAATGGGAGGAGAAATGGGAGTGAGAGCAAATCCTTGAAGAAACGCAGTGCCACGCACCTACACACACACACACACACAACGAGGGAGCGAGAGTACCAAACCACGCACGCGCACGACCAGCAACTGTCCAGTAACGCATGATGGTAGCACACCTCTTTCCGCGCGCACTCTCCCCTTTCCCCACCCGCACCACGTCAGTGAAGTGAATAGTTGCGCTTGATGTGCGTTGGCAGCTTGATGTCAAGCCTCGGATTCACAATGGGAAGGGACCCGAGGTCCTTTGTGGTTTTCCCTAATCGCTTTAGCACGTCCTCCAGGGTCCGTCGTCCGGTGCCGGGTGCTGAGGGGACGGAGCGGGACTGTGCAGCCTCCAACCGCTGCCGCATCTCATCCCCGCGCAGCCCCATCTTGGGCTCATTCAGGTGCTCCCTACTGCCGGCAAAGAAGTCCCTCCAGTACACGTCGTCGTAGTAGCCCTTCTTTAGATGATCGGGAAGGCGATTGTCCACGACACGGTCCGGCATAAGTAGACCGTCCTTGCCGGGTGGATGCATCGCCATCATGCCCTTGCGGCGACGCATCTCTTCCAAGTAAGGGTAAATGTTGTAGATGAGTGAGTGTGGCACCTTGCCACGACTCGCCGCGATCTCACTCACGCTACGAAGTGCCTTGACTGCCTCAAAAACGCCTTCAACCGTGTGAGTTGGGGACTTGGGGTTGTTTGTTGCCTTCAAATTGATTCGACACCCCGCGTGCTGAAACCCAAACGCGCAAAGAATATCGGCAACACGAAAGTTGGCCACAATACGCTTGGCAGGGTAAAGTAGTACACGTACCCCATCGGCGTTGACGCGCACCGGATACATGGGGCCCTCCTGTTCCAAATCCACCGCAATAATGTTGGAGAAGGCCTCCCGTATGGCCTCCTTTTTCGCCTCCTGCGTACTCGGCGCCACAGCGCGCCCCCATCCCGCTATTCCCTTGCCACTTCCCACGTACAAGACGCAGTAGATCCATTGTCGGTGATCCTTGGGGCTAAACTTCACAACGCGCATGTCATATGCAACAATATTTAATTGAAAATTACAAAGAAATCTCCCACGATGCTCTTGCGGAATCAAATCTGGCGTCAGCCAAGTATTTGAGCGCCACTGGTTGTACTCTGTGTTTAGCTTGTGCTTCCACTGAAAGCCCTCAGGGTAGAGGTCTGGCACGATCCGGTACTCGTTGTACAGGTCAATGGCGTTGTCCATGCCCTTCAGTCCTTTGGAATCCGCGGCATGTGCCACCGCCTCCGCCGAGTCACGGGTGTCGCGAAAGTACAGGGAGGTTCCTGTCTCCAAATCCACAAACGGATTGCGCATCTTTTCAAAGCGGCGACGCGTAAAGCTGCCAGGGCGCATCCACGCGTAGTAAATGCGTGGCACCCCGCCCCGCATTGTGCCCTTGGCATACCACGAGTTCAGGTTTTTCAACGACCCCGCCGTGAAATGAAACATCTTTCGTTACCCACGCCGCCAGCAGCAAAGAGAGGAGCAGAGACACTATATATATATATATATATATTAGACTAACTACTTTGTGAAAGGGGGAAGAAGAAATCCATAAAGCGAAAAGCAAATAGTAAGACGCATTAATAAAGTAGGAAAAATTCGCCCGTGGGAAGAAATAAAATGAGAGGAGGCAGCAAGAAAGGTACCTGCTCCGCCCCCTCAACGGCGGAGGAACTTGTGTGAACATCACTCCTCCTTCCTTCGCAGCCCCCAAGAAGTTCTACAGAACAAGCCACTGGCGTGAATGGACAACTGGAAGCGAAATATTAAAAACGAGTGACGAAGAAGCAAAAGAGAAAAAGCGAGAAAGAGAGAAGAAAAAAAAAAGAAAAGGAAAACAAACAATACTAAATTTTAAAAAAGCACACACACACACAAGTATATATATATATATATACTTCAAAACAAGCGATACCATATTGTCCTTCCAATTTCCAGCCTTTCCCTCACGCGGACGGCTGTGTACTCATTTCTGCGGCAGTCCGAAAGAGGTTAAGCGGCGTACTGCCGTCCATGACGAGATAGCCTTCCAATCCCAAACTCTCCAACAACTTCGCCTGAAGCTCAGGTCCCGCCTTGGAGATTTCCAGTACGGTCTCAGGCCCAATGGCGTCCATCACGGAAGCAAACTTTTCGTCCTCAATATACGCAAGAGCACGCTCCAGTTCATGGGCCAAAGCCACTCGACGATCCTCGTAGTCATGCTGCAGCGCCCGCTTCATATGTTCCACCTCCGCCAAGACGTTGTTTGTAATGTCTTCCTTCGCTGCGCGAATGTGTGCGGCTTTCATTGCTGACTCCTGTTCCACGCTCGCCGCCTTTGCGGCGGCGTCGGCAACGGAGCGCAAGCGACCTGAACTTTGCATCGCGAAGCTGTGGGACTCAGCCTCCAGTAACACGCGTCGCCGTATTTCATTTTCCAGCTGATCTTGCATCTTTTGCCTTTCAAGCAAGCCGCGGGAGTGCTGCTCGCGAGCCAGTGCAATTTGCTGTGCCTTCAACTCCTGGGCCTGGGTAGTGATTTGGATGGCTATCTTGACAGACTTCTGCAGACCCTCACGGGTCCGTGCGTCGAGAACCTCCATCCGCTGCGTGTCCACGGAGGTCACAACAAAGTTGTTCGCCGCAAAGCGCAACTCCGTCCGTGTAGCATGGCTGATGGGATCCACCCCAAAGACGGCTTCCTGCAGTATCTTTGCGCTGTTTTTATGAAATTGCTGAAACGGCAGTGACGCCACCGCGGCACGGATGCGGCCGGCGATGAATGAGCAGGTATCGGCCACAAAGTCGCTGACGCTAAAACACTTTTCTGCTGCCAATTCATCTCCAGGGGCGACATCAAAATACCAGGCATAGCAGAGCTGCAAGGCAAGTTGGGCATGATCCCGTGTCTCCACATTGACAACATCCTTCATATTCGAGGGTCCAAGAAACAAATGAAGTGCTTTGATGTGGTTGGCCTCCTTCGGGGGGCAGAGACCGGGGTTAGTTGAGTCAAATGGCGAACCTGAGAGTGTCACAAGCGTGAACTCCTCATCCGGCTCCAGTAAAACACGCTCTGGCCCAAAAATAGTTCGAGTCGTTAAGGCCTTGTAATTGTAAACTTGAGTCACACTTCTGTGTGGAACCCTATACATCACCGTCCAGTGTGTTTTCCCCCGAAGCCCGTGGGCAGAAGGGGGCTGAAAAGGGTTAATTGCTTCTATCGGCTCAGGCGGCAGAGAGTGCTGCTCTGCAAGACACCTCTCCACATCGGGCGACAATTTCTTCTCCCAAAGTTCCTCCGAGGCAGCCAGCATGTATGCCCCTGGGCCATTCACCGACCTCACCTCACCCGTGGCGATGTCGCGTACGTAGATTCCCTTCCCGTCCGTGAGGATGATGCGCTCTCGCACGGCGTTATTGTTTTTATCCTTACATACCTCAGTAAAGGAGTTTGGGACGTATTCCTGTGGGCCATACAGAAGCCAAACCTCTCCAACGTGTCGCTGGACCGGTGGCTGGACGTCGGTGTCCTCAAAATCCTCTAATGCCTTTAATAAAAGGGCCTGCCCTTCGTGAAGGAGATAACTGTCATGAATGGCATTTCCCTCCAGGCACTCGTCCGGCTGCAAATAAAATGAGGCATCTGTAACAAAGCGGCGACATGAGTTCTTCCTATTTACCACAACCGCGTACTGTTTTTTGCTCACATGTAACATATTGACAGATTGTACAATTACCTCATAAGGATGTAACAGGAACAAGGGAGCATCGTCGTGCGTGACAAGGTACACTTGCCCCGCAAGACGCTCCGCACCGTTCCCATGCTTCCTATCATCCACAAAGCGCTGCAACACCTTCACATGCAACCCTTCGCCAGGGTGCAGCACCAAAGGAGAGACATGCCCCAGAAACTCTTCCGAGGCGGAGCAAAGGTATGAGGTGGGCTCCGTACGGAGATACATTTCGCCCTTTCTCCGCGATTGGCCATCCTTGTCCACGAATGCCTCCAGTGCATGAACTCGGATTGCGTGGCCTTGCTTGATTGTCACGGCGCGACGCACCTTCCCTGCTTCCTCCTCCACGCGTGGACAATACATCCCGGGGACAGTGTAGACAAAGCGTTCACCCGCCACGCGCTTCACGCCATCGCTGGAAGTGTAGCTGCACAGCGCCTTCACCTCAAGGCCCTCATCTTGGCGGAGAACTGTCATGGGGGCCACAAGCACAAGTCGCTCCTCGGGATAGAGTGGAAAGGTCTTGGTACCAAGCACGATCTCTCGCTCACCTACTCGCACCTTTACCTGGCCGTACTTGTCACGCACGGGCGTCACTCCATCCCTGTCCCGAACGTGGGGATTCTCAATGACAGCATAGCTCCCATGCGGCACCACGTGAAACGGTGCCACAGGCTTGGAAATTTTTTCGTCCGACGCGAGGGCCCGTGTCTGGGGACCAACAAAAAGTTCCGTTGTGTTAGTGTTTTCATTCATGACGTGAGCGTACTCGTACGGCTTAAGCCGCAACAGCACATCGCCCGTCGGCATCTCCGGAAAAGTATGCTGCAGCAGTTAACACTACTGAAACAAAGAAGGAGGAGGGGGTAAAATGAGTTTGTCAGATTCCAAAGGTCAAGGAATCCCTTGAAGGACTTTTGTGCACTCACTTCCTTTTCCTATCGCGGGCGTGAGTGTGTATGCCAACGCAATGCGTACCAGTTAATAATGTGTGCTTGACTATTTTAGTTAATGGACCGCTGAACGGCGAGGTGAGAGAAAAAGAGACTAAAAGAAAGCGCATATATACTTCAACGCAGTAAAATAATAAGAATAATAAGAATAATTGACCTTGCCCCCTTTCCCAAGAACAATTACTTCGTTACTTTGAAATTCCTCCTCGTTGGCCATATTTTTCTTGGCATCAGGGGAGGGGGGAGGGAGGGAGGAGGGAGTCTTTGAAGGTTTCCTTTACTTTTTTCCCCTTTCCAGTTTTATGCCAGCCGTTAGACCCTCCCATGTTTTTTTTTATCTCTCCTTATTCTTTTAATCGCAGATGCTAAATGAACTTAACAGCAAACGTGTCCCACGCGAGCCCACAAGCGCCTCCCTTCGGGCACACGCAATCGCTTCTCCCTCGTTCCTCTCTCGTTTCGTTCCTGCCCCATTGGCATGCCTCCGTCGCCCGCTTCCTGCGTGCGTTTCCCTGAGCGTCAGCCGAAGAAGAGGCAAAGGCACATCTTCCCACTTTTGTAGTTTTGGACGCCTCCTTGTTTGTTCGCCACTTTTTCATTGCTGCCTTGTCGTCGCTCCCCGCCTTCTCTTTTCTCTTCGCGCGCTACGGGGGGGTGTCGTCACGGGCCCGCTTTGCGGCGCCCTTCGCACGCCGCATCGACTCCGGCAGCGGTGGCGGCGGTCGCAACTCCCCCGTCGACGGGTCATACGACTCCAGCACTTCGTACGGGCCAAGTGCGTCTAACTGTTTGGTCACGACGGGCGGCTGCCCCTGTGCCACCTTGGACAACTTGTGGTAGTGGCGGCAGAAGACATCTGCGACACGCCGCAGAGTGGGATGATAGCTCCGCGTCAAGAGGCTGACTTCCCACGTAAAACTACTTTCGGCATTTGCCGAAGCAGTTTGTACCGCCGCCGGGTTGTAGGCCCCACGCCCCACAATGACATTGTCGCTGCCGCCAATGACAATGCCACAGACAGCGGGATAGCGCAGCATGAGACGGTGAACTAGTGCGAGCAAGGAAAGTCCAATGTGCGGCGGACAGGACGGAGTAGCCTGGATAAGGCGACGCACAAGGGCAGTGACGCGGGGGACGGGCAGATGTTTTTGTGTCAACACCAACAAATCCACAGCGCGCAGCACCAAACTCACACGGAACGTCCACTCTTTGGAGGCATTTGACTGCACAAAATTCGCTTGTGCCATGGAATTGGCAATCGAAAACGCCTGGGACGAGAGGGACCCCGCGGACGAAGTCGAGCCTTGCGAGGCCGTATCGTCCCCATCTGAGGCGTCCTCTACTTCATTAGGCTTTTTCTCCGTGTCACTCCTGGGGATGTCCAGCGCCTCAAGAAGGCAGCGAAAGAGAACCTCGTGGAAGTAGCTGAGATCCACTCGCCACTCACTGGCACTGGCGGTGGCGTCCCTCTGCGCCAGCGTCGCAACCGCCACGAGAGCATGCAACTTTGTCGTCATGGACGTTGCCTCGTCGTTGACGAGGTCCTTCAAGGCAGTTAGGAGTTGATGATAGAGCTCCACGTTGACAAGTGGAGCAAACTTCACCAGCCCCTCCAGCGTCGGCGCAAGAATTCGCGTTTGATGCCGCTGGGAACACGACTTGGAGGCTTCTATAACGCGCAAGTAGATGACAAACACACGGTGCAAAATTCGACCCTGTTTCACGGCCACCTCGGCCCGATCCCGACGAGCCTTACTTTTTTGCAGCTGACGAGCCAACTCCTTATCTTCTTTTTTGAGTCGTTTGTTTTTGGCCTTCTCCTCCGTCAGGTCTCGGCGATGCATGTCCACCAACGCCACACGGATGTGGAGCAGGAGGTGAAGGAGCTTAGGATTCATCGCGTAACTCTGCTTGCGCACAATGTCTAGCATGCAAGAGACAATAGACTCCGTCGCATCTGACACCATCTGCCCATCGAGGAGTTCTGCAAGAGCCGTCAGTGCGGGTTGAGCCACCCGCGTGGACTTTGCGTTTGCAAACTGTACCGCCAACGATAAGAGTTTATCGGCGTGGTTAAACTCCGCTGCTCTATTGATCAGCTGGGCACACAATCGACTCCCAAGTGCCTGCTGTTCCGGGTGCGTTTTCCGTTGCAACTTGCGAAGGAGCTGAAGGAAGTGTTCATACTGTGCCAGCACCTCATGCTCCAGCTTCTGTACAAGGTACACCTCCTTCTGCTTGCGGCCCCCACTGCCCCCATCCTCGTCCTCAAGCGTGGCGGAGATCTTGTAGTTCGGGATCACGTCGCAGAGAATAGAGCACTCCCTGAAGAGGTTTTCCACCAAGTCGCCGTACTCCGTCACCGTCTTGTTATGCAGTGCGTGGAGCTCCTTCAATTGGTCCTGAAGGTAGGACGTGTTCATCAGGTATCGCTGCATGGCCGGCAGAGGAGTGCCACAGCCGCCACCGAAAAGGAAATGGGTCCGCCGCCGCCGCCGCCGCCCTCTTTACTGCTGTTGTTGTTACTTTTATTACTCCGTTCCGGCGGAGTCCCCCGCGCCGCCTCAAGCCCCCTCTCCGTTTCCACCCCCGTCTCCTTCACAGATGCCTTGTCCTTTGCTTACTATCCTGCGCCCCTCCTCTCGCACGGCCCACGAAAAAAGAAAAAACTTGGAGGCGCATGTAAATGCAGTAGGGAAGACATGAATAAAGAGGAAGCAGAGATCAACATAAACACCGCATCGCCTCCGCTTCTACCGCCAACAACAACTTCAGGCTCCCACTCACGGACACGTTGCGCTCAAGGCAACAAAGTGCCGGTAAATGGGTAGCTGAGGGACGTGCATTTACGGAGGTGGGAAGAGGAAAGGCGCGAGAAAAACGGTCGCACAGGCGCAACTCTCCCCTCCCCCCAGGGAGGAGCGGGAATGGGGCGGAGAACTCAGTAGTTGAAATACTTTTCGTTGAGGCCCTGCAGTGCGGGGATGTGGTTCTTGATGAGTCCAAACACAATAGCCACAGCTGTGACGCTCACAAAGGAAATGATGGAGCACTTGATCAGCGGTGCGTCCCTGTTGTAGCACTCGGCTTTGATCGTCGTCGTGCGTTTGCAGCTCCGGCCGGAACACGTTGCCGCCTCCAAGACGGAGATCACCTTGCACTCCGACAGCTGCCCCTCAACGCTTGGCAAAGGCTCGTCACTGCCGATACCCTCAAAGAGACGTGCTGTCTCCATGCGCACCTCTTCGCTGCGAATGTATGCGTTGCAATCCGCGGTGCTGCACTTGTCACAGGAGGACACAACCCAGGTGACGTTTGGCATCGATCTGCAGCCGCCCTGGTAGCAGCAGCGGCAGGTGCACACAATAGAGCTGGTGTCCACGATACTAGTCGACTCTTCGGCCGCCGCCGCCGCCGCCATCGCAAGCAGGGCGCATAGCACAAAAAACAGAGAAACTATTCTCGCCATCCCTCTCTCCCTCCTCATGCCACGAATACTGCTACCACGCATGTCTCCTACACCGTACGGGTGGCTGTTTGCTTGATTGTTCGGCGGCGGTGGTGTTCATTTCGAGCGAAGATGCAAACAATAGAAAGGAAAGAAACGGTGAAGGACCCCCTCCTCCCATCAGACATACGCATGCCCCCTCCGCATCGACTCCCTTCTTGCACTCTGGCAGCAAGGACAAGACGCGGAGAACCCTGCCCCTCTTTGAGGGGGATTCAAGGAGAACCAACAAACGCGAAACGTGTCATGGGCCGCTGGGTGGGGGCCCAAAAACCGAAAACAAAGAAAAAAAAACTTGGGCAAGAGCCCTGCGCCAAGTCCTGCGCGTAGCAAAATAAATGTGACAGGTGTGCTTCTATTTGCCCCCACCCAGCGTGAGAAGAGGATCAAATAAGTAAAAAAAAAAGGTACAGATAAAAAAAAACATTGGTTGAGGAAGAGTCCACGCAAGTTTTTTTTCTTCTTTTCTTTTCGTGTGCATCTAAAGCTTCAACGCCAAAAAAAAAAAGCAAAAAGAAACTGTATTCTAGAAAAGCTCCATTGAGTACTGTGGATCAGCGGCAAACTTCGGCATGGGCGCCGAGCTCTTCTCGTCCCACCATGCCGCGCTGTTCTCCGCCTCGCCCGTGCTCAGCCCGCCGCTGCCGCGAATCTTTCGCCGCCCAGCAGTAGACAGACGACTGTCGTTGGGGTTGTGAGCCCCCATCACCTGGCGTATCTCCCGCATGGCGGTGTCATTCTTCTGTTCCACAAAGCATTCCGGGATCACCACCTGACCGTACGGAGTCGTCTGGTTGAGCGGCGCAGCCGTTGTGTCGCACTTGTTGGGAGTCATCGCAGAAGTCAGCGTCTCTAACTGCTTCTGCATACCTCCCAAATCTTTAATGACTGAGGAGACGCCTTGCTGAAGGAAGAATTGAACCCCCGTCCCCAGTTTGGCTGCTGGAGTCTGCATCATCGCCTTTTGTGCCTCATTCCCCATCAATTCTGCTCCTCTCGATTCGCCTTCAACGCGTCTCCTCTTGTGAACGGAGGATTTATTGTCATCTTGCAAGCCAGATTGCGCCTCGTGCTGCTTCGGCTTCTCGGAGGTCTGGATCATAGTCAGCCGCGTCATGACAGTTTTGCTTGGAGCCGGCGCATACGTGGCATGTGGAACACTGTAGTTGTTTGGTCTTCGCTCCATTGTGACCGGGAGAATAGTCGTGTGCGACGGAGCCGCTGTCGCAAAGACGCGACCCTGGTGTGGCTCATCGTAGTTATTCGCACCTGCAGCCACAGCCTCGGCGGCTTGTGCACGTGTGGTCCGTAACTCCCTTTCAAACTGCTGCAATTCATGAAGAACAGATTTAGCAGCCTGATGTGTGGCCAAATACTCAAGGACGAGGCCGGAGGGGACGGCAACGCCATCCACGTGAGGTGTCGAGGCCTGCAGTATCGGCAGGGCCAGGTTGTCGATGGGTTCCTCCTCCTCCTCGTCGAGGTCGGGCTCACGCCAAGAGTCGGCGGCGCCGTCATTGTTGCCGCTGCTGCTCTTCACAACAGTCGACTCGCGTCGAAGCTGACGGCAACTCTCCTCCTGCGAATTTCCGGCATCCGCGGTGGGGGCAGCCTCGCCTGCGCGCGTGGAGGACGACGTTTCCACTAGGCCAGAACCACCGCCGCCTTGCCACTCCTGATAGCTGGTTTGCACCCCACGCGACTCCAAAGCGCGAGGCACATGGGCCTCCACCGCCGGCTTCGCGCCGTCCGCGCCCCGCGTTGGACGGACAATGGGAAGCGGTAGCTCGCCGCGGGGCCCCGCCGCTGCCGCCGCCAAGGCCGCGTTGGCGGCCTCCGCGCCGTCGACGGAGACAAAAGACACCTCACGAGGTCGTCTCTCCCGCACCGACACGACGCTGCTGGCCGGCGAGGTCATAGTGCTCTGCTCCTTCTTTGAAGACAACGGCGCCTTCGGCGCAAGCGGCAGCACCGCCTCCTCCTCCAACCGACGTTGTCGCTGTTCTTCCTGCAGCAGTGGGTCATACACGGCCTGGTTCTCCTGCCGCAGCGCAGAGAGCTGAACCGGAGAGTCGGCTTCATCGCCTTCCATGCAGTCGTCCCCAAAGACGCTATTATCACCCGGCTGCTGGAGGGTGTCTAGGAGGTAGGCATCCCGCCCGCCTTCCGCCACGGACGCACCGCCAGTGAGCCCCTCCACGCTCGCCCCTGCGGTGTCGATCTCGTCGCTGAAGACGGACGAGCCCTCGTCCCACCTCTCGCCGGTGGCCTCCTCCACAAGTCGCCTTGTTTTGTGGTGCAGGCGGTGCAGTAGTTGGTAGAAGGCGGCATTTTCCTGGCGAACCAATGGCCCCAGTTGGGCGAGACGTGGTAGCTGCCCGCGAACAACCGCGGTTGCCTTCGTCACGGCATCTGCGAACTGGCTCATGTCTTGTTTTGTCTCAGCCGCCAGTTCAACAGCCTCGCGGCCCGTGCCGCGCTGCACCACAACCGTCAGCAACTGCGCACAAATGTAGAGAAGGCAGGCAAACCGACCAGGCGGGTGCTGTGGTTGCTTCACCCACTGCGAGATCGTGTGTAACACCACACGCGTGAGGGGCGGGTTACGTTTCATCGCCTCGTACATCATCACCGCAAAGAGGTGTCCGGTGGCTTCGGTTCCATCAATAGTCACGGCATCGGCGGGTGCCGCGATGCGAAAGCGCTGCGATATCGACTTGGCAAGGGTCGTCATAAAGGCAATACGTGCTGGGGCAGACGACTTCATCTGGTGCAGGAAGAAGGACCAGAATGTGCTACTGGCGCCGATCGGCAGCGCGTACTCGCTGAGGGGTTGTATTCCCAGAGGGACAAAACCAAACGGGGTTAATAACGTCCCGACAATGTTCGGTGCCTGGACGTTAAAATCCTGAATCAGTTTACACACGCAACACCCTACCAGCTTGCGTGTTTCGTCGCTGAAGCTGTGGGAGCGATCTATGATTTTTAGCAGCTGCTGTGCGTTGTCGGCGGTTGTGTTGCACATCGGGGCGCAACTGGGAAAGTCGACGCAGTAGTTGTTCTCTGCAGGGTCGGTGGGGAGCAGCTCCACGTTTCCTTTCCCCTGTCGAAGAAGAAGATTGGCCATATACCACAGCGACAACGCATCGTGGTTGCTGCGCAGCCGCACCTCACAAAACACGCGGAGAATACTCTCGACGTACGACGGTTCCAGCGCATTCGCAAGCAGGACTACGAGCTTCACGTGCAGCATGAGGACGTTCGCCTTCTGCTGACTCCCTATCAAACCGGCACTGGACGCCCGATCGGCACTCAGCAGTGTCGTGAGCGTACTGCGAATGTACGGCTCCAGCGCCTGAAAGAGTGTGTTGCGGTGCTGCCCCGCATGGGAGAGGATGTGAAACAGCAAGAAGTGCACGGCGCTGTCCATCTGCGTTGCCGGATCACGCAGTAGCTGGATGAGTTTCCCCTCCACCGACGCCATCCCAGCGCACTCGGCGAGCGTCGTCAGAACCCGTCCCACGGAGGCCTGCCCCGTCATGTGCATTGTGCCGTTTACGCTGCACACGGGCGAGGCACCGCGGCCCAAGCCGCAAAAGATGCATAGCGCGGTCACATCGCGCAGGTGCGCCACTGCGGCATCCATCGCCTCATCAATGTGCAGCTGATGCAGCACCATAGCCAGCTCCGCACAGATCAGCTGAGGGTCCACGGTGGCCTCCGTGAGGTCGTCAAACGCCTCCATGGCAAGCTTTCCAAGCGCCTCCACCGTTTTTTCCGGTACTGCAATGTGAAGCGCCTTGTGCATATCCGTTGCACGTCGCGACGCCGTGATGGAGCAGCTCCGCACCACCTCACGCAGCAGAAACAGCACACTGTACACACTTGTACGATTCTGCAGAGCGGTGGCGACATCGTCGGCGACGTCTCGCCCCGTCATGGCAAGTCCCGCACCGCGCACAAGCGCAATTATGGTTTTGGCAAACATGGCCACAGACATGCGTGTATCAACGGCCAGTGTCGCCGCAAAATAGGCCGCATGGGGCATCTGGCAGTTAATAAGCTCTACCATCTCCACGGCACCGTCTATCTCGTCCTCAAAGGCCCACTGCATGATAGCGCAGAGGCAAAGGTAGTACGGATTGGAGGGACTCATCCCGGGCGTACATTGCCGGAGCAGCTCCCCGCAGAGATGCTGCCGGGTCGCGGGGATTTGCACGAGGGACTGCATATCGGGTCCGCTTAGACTTGGGTAAAGAAAGCGTTCCACGTACTCCCGACGAATGGGTGAACGGAAGCGAAGAAAGAGCTCGCTGCAGTGAATGGAAAGGGCTCGGCCGTACGCAGGTCCCCTAACGGGTTCCGGCACGGCCCGCTTAAGTCGCTCATAGCAGGCCAACAAAAAGTCCACATTCATCTTGCGTGGTTTGGTCTTCAGAACATAATGCAGCGCCGCAACCTGCTCATCCATGCGGATGGTGCCGGCGGTGCGCACAATAAGCGTGAGCGCTCGATTTGCCACCAGCGGCGAGGAGGCGTTGCACAGCGCCTCCAGTTTGTCCTGCCACTGGTAGAGAATCTCCACCGGCACGGCCCCGAGATCCACAAGCGAGGTCGCAAGATACGCAAAGGCGCGGTACTGCAGCGGCGGCATAAGCGCCACGCAGTGCGCCCCACCAACGCACGTTGGGGAGGGCAGACCAAAAACGGCGTCTCGCAACACTCGAAGCACAAAGGGGTGCGTCATACGAGCATCATCAGAGATCTGTGCCAGCACCCCGTTAATTAATTGAACATACAGCTGAACATCACTCTCGCTCACTCTGGCCATTTGCATGTGAAAGAGAAACGTCGCGTAGCTGAGCGAGACACAAAAGGGTCGTCCCTCCACGTATGGCTCCTCCCGTGTGTAGTACGACGCCAGCGTGTGGAGCGTGCTCGGGGAATTAATACTTGGCTTCAGTTGCCGCTGCACCTGCTCGACGCAGCGCACAAAGAGACGCTTGTCTTCCTCTGGCGTTGTTTCTAACAATTCAGTGGCACCCTGTCGCTGCTGAACGCGCGGTGCGGAACGGCTCGTTGCACCCGACACAGAGGAGCGACGAGTGTGCGCTGTGGCACTGGATTGCCGCGACATCGTCGACCGATTCGCAACCGCAAAGAGGTCCATTTGCCGTGGCTCTTGCCGCGCTTCAAGTCTCCCTCTGTTCCTGAAGGAATTGGGCCGCACCCAACGGTGGGGTGTGGGCCAAAGTGGTGTGTGTGTGTGTGTGCAGTGCCTCTCTGACACACACCTGCCCACACCCAGAGAGACAAGCGCGAGTGCACCGAGGGAGCCGAGAGAGGAAAAGAAGCCCACAAAGAGAAAAAAATTAAGAGTAAAGTCTAAGGCCGCGTCCCTGTCTTTTCCCGCGGGTTTCCTGCAAAGACACGTTGCGTGGCACCTGCCGCCCTATTGCGCTCTAGCCCCTATAGCAATAGACTTGAGAGGAGAGTGAAAGTCCCACTGGCGCTTGGAACGAGAATTAGGGGGGCGCACGCTTGCATGTCGCCCAGTGGGGCGACCTCCATGCATCCCCCGCACACCCACAAAAAGCAAAAGTGCGAGCATGGGAGAAACATGTGTGTTTAAATAAATAAGTATCTACATGCAACGAAATCAAAGAGGGCAGTCGACAAAAAAAAAGAAATTTCATGTGCAGTCGTAGGCAA